GCGCTGCAGGGGAAGCGCCCGCCCTGCCGCCCCCGGCGCGCTAAGATGGCGGCCGCGGCTCAGGCGCTGAGCGGCTGCGGGCTGCTCCTGGCCGCCGCCGCCCTGGCGCTGCTCGCCGTGGCCATCGGCACCGACTCGTGGTACGAGACGGACGCGCGGCGGCACCGCGAGCGCTGCCGCGGCTTCGGCCACAAGCGCAGCGACCCGCCGGGCTCCATGTCGGCGCCCAGCTCGCACCTGCCGCTGCGCGCGCGGCCCCCGCGGGCCCTGCTGCCCGGGCGGCCGCCCGCCCCCGCGCCGCCCGCCGTCGCCGCCGCCCTGGACTCGCACTGCGGCCGCCGCTTCAACTCCACCGTCTCGGGGCTCTGGCGGCGCTGCCACCGCGCGGGCTACGAGCCGGACAGCGAGGAGCTCATCCGCAAAGGTGCGCGCCGGGGCCGCGCGGCGGGGCCGGGGCCGGGGCCGCGCGCTGCTGTCCGTGGTGCTGAGCGCGGCCCTGCGGGAGGGCCCGGGCCGGCGGGCGCGGGGCCGCAAGCGCTCGGAGCGGGGCATGCCCCGAGCCCGGCACCCCGTCCGTTGCGGAGCGCCCTTTGGCACGGTGGTAGCTCCGGGTGCCCCGGCCAGGGAAGGGACCTGTTGTTCCTCCGCCCGTTGCGGCGGGCGCTGCAGGCCTCGCCGGGGCCGCTCCGCACCCGCCGGCACCGCAGCGCTGAGGCCGGGGATGCTGCGGAGCTCCTGCCGYGGTGGCACCTGGAGACACGGGGATCCTGGGCTCCGCGGCACCGCTAGCGAGGCGCTGCGGGCCTTACAAAACGAGCTTAAGGTCAAGAAATGCTGCGAATGGTTAATAAATGAGGAGGCTCATTGATCCAGCAAGTGCATGTCAGTGTAGAGGGCTGGGAGAAGCGCTTCCATTGGGGCGCTGGATGGGGCTGCTGCCCAGGGGCAGTGGGGGCAGCTGCTCAGCGAGGCCTCCAGCCCAGGTGCTTGTCCCCTGTGCTCCCCCTGCACAGGGGAGGCCGCGCGCGCTGGCGCCGGGAAGCTCCACTCCTGTTGTCCCTTCTTACCAAGAAATTGCAGGGACTCTGACTTCTAGAAACTCAAGGGCCGCCTGATTAGCTTCTTTATTTAATCATCTTCTTGCTTTTTCATTTATATTTCCAGTTGATCTCACTTCACCGAACGGYAGCTCATTAGTTTCAGTCTATTAATGGTCCCTGTCACTTAAAATATGTATTTATTTTTCTGTTTTTGGCTCCCATTATGATCAGCAAGGGCTGGGGAAGGGAGTGAAAGRAGTGCCTGTGGGTTCCCCACACCCACAGGTTTGGGGCACGCTGCCCTCAGCTGCATGGGCGCATTATGTGTGTGACTAAGGGCCTTGCATGGGGCCACAAGGGTAAAGCTGTGGGGACTCGGGGGTCTGAATGGCTTTCCTTCTACATTCATACTTCAGCTGGTCTAATGAAAGAGATTGCCTTTCCCTACAAACCTTGCTTCCCTTACGCCTTTTGGTGTATTTGCTCTGTAGTATCTACTGTAAAGATACTACAAACATAAAGATGTTTTATATGACATCATTGTATAAAAGAAAAGGTTATTAATAATCATTCTTGTAGAGCCAAGCCCTCRACACACGGGGCTCTCAGCCTGCCCCACTTGCTTCACTGGCTGCCTTCCCTTGTTCCCACCATGCCTGTCTTTTCTCTGGCAGCTGTAACTAAGCAGCGGTGGCCAAGCACGGCTCTTTTCTCGAGCACACTGCTAGGGCTGGAGCTTCTGAGCAACAGAAGCAAATTATTTTTGGTGTGAGCTACTAATAATAACTGCATGCACCTCTGAAAGCCCCCTTCCCCCTTCTGTGCTTGCAGGGATGTTCCAGCTAGATCTTTGGTGATATGAGGCCTTCATGTATTTTTAAAACTAAAGATTTTTATAGGCTTTCAGTGACAGAGGAGTAAGTAATTCTTGTGAAAGTCTAGTGGTAGTTTTAATTAGGATCTATACTCTTGATTTGCTTGTGTCTCTAGAATAAGGGCTTTTTTCTTCCTGTCTGAATCTCTCTTGAGTTCTGAGTAAGTGATTAAGACCACAAGTACCCTTATTCATTTAAATAATTACATGAATTTCTAATGCAGTGTTTATCTACTGCTCTTAGTACAAAGCACATAAATGAAAGGGAAGAAGCAGGAGTCAAAAAATGTTRGGCAAAATGGAGGAGTAAATATTTAAATATAAGGAGAGAAAATATGTRGGATCCTTCTTAATATATAGCATTGCTATTTTTGAATCATAAAAAAACAGACAGTTTCACTTTTAAAATACAGTTAAGAGGAAAGGCAGAAGAGGTAAGTGTGTATAAACCAAATAGARGAAAACAAGTGTAGCAATTAGTGTGAAATTGCAGACAATAACCTGAAATATTTGAAGGGGAAACTTTGTGTGTAGGGAGGCACTCTGTGAGCCTCCCGTGTAAGAACTTTAGCCCTACACATCCCCACTTGAGCTTGTGCTAGGTGGGTTATGGGCTGCATAAGTGATACAGCAAAAAAAAAAAAAAAAAAAAAAAAAAAAAAAAAAAGAAAAAAGTGTTGCTTACAAAGAAGAAAATTATTAATTGGGAAAGATCAAATCAAATCGGCCCTTTTGGATAACCTGGTGGATTGGTTTGAGCAATGTATGTTTTATCTCCAGTAAATTCTGGAAATGGAAAGAGACTCACACGAGAGGCTTTGTCGAGTTTGCTTTGAGAAGAGCCCAGGCTGGGGCTGGTTGTTCTGTCAAGCACTGGGGTGACACGAGCTCTTAGTGCCCCGACATAGCTGGGAAGGCCCAAGACCCACTGGAGGCTTGATCAGAGGGATGCTCTGGTCTGTGGTGTTAATGAGGCCATTGAAGGGAAACTGCTCTGTTGTGGTGTCTCAACTCCCCATCCGTCCCCACTGATGAGCTGGGAGCGTTGCATGACTGAGGAGCTACAGTGCAGGCAGGGTAGTTAACTCAGTCTGTTCACTTGTGGCCATAGGCAAGTAAAATTTGTTGGGAAGAGTTATCATGGCTCAATGAAGAAAAGCTGATTCTCCAAGTCTGGTGACGATGGGGACAGTGCAATGCTGTTGCTGTTCTCACTGCTGCACAGCAATGGCAGGAATATGCTGGGGGCTTTCGTGGGTGTTTGGGCCTGAGGCACAAGGGAGCGGAGGCTGGACTGGCCYGTGGTAGCTCAGCAGCAGCGGCCCTCGGCCGTTTCCAGCCTTGCTTGTGTGCAGAGAGGACCTCTCCCGGCTGTGTGAGAGCTGAACTGCTCCAAAATAACAGCTTGGGGATCCAAACGGAGAGTAAGAGCTCCTCCACCACCTACTGTTGCTGTGGGCAGCGTAAAGGAGAAACCCACGCGTTTCAAAGAGACTAAACCGAGAAAAATGTGGGGAGCAAGGCCTGGGATTACAAACTGAAYGTGCTAGAGCTGGCCTGGCTCTGACATTCCAGGTGTCTGGCAGCTTAGGAAATGGAGCCTGTGCTCAGGCTGGGCCCTAGAGGTCCAGAAATCCTGTGTAGCCCAAATGCCCCAGTCCTGCCCAGTGCCAATCATCAGGCAGGGAAAAGGGCTTGTTCAGGGACACTCCTGCATGTGCCCCAGGGGCAGGATGAGGACATGGAAGGGAAACCTGCCCGCGGAGCTGAGGGAAGCAGGGATGTGCATGCAAGGCATGTGCACACATTGGCTTTGGGAGGCCACCATCGTGTAGCTCAGCCATGAAGGTGTCACTACTGCACAATGCAATGTGCATTGCTTCTTACACTCACTCTTTTAATCATGAAAATCGCACATGCWGTACAACATTCATAGTTTTCTGCTAATGCCAACAGGAATTCCTGGGAACAGGCTCTCTATGTAATCTTTACCTTGTACATCTGCATTATGATGATCTAATCACACAGACCCCTGCCCTGCTCTGCCCTGGGTTCTCAAATTCTTTGTGTGCAGAAAAGACAATACTCATTTTTTTCTCCTTCTTGCTCACCACATTACTCCAAACTATTTGCCTTTGTCTGAAGGCAACATTTTTAGTTTTGGCAGACTTGCTTACAGTGCTTGTCTGACTCTTCATAAACAAAAGCAAAATCTCTGTGCTAGCAACTTTCTAACATGGAGGCCAATATGTTGTCTCCATCTTATGGATCGGGATCTAAAGTATAAAAGGACTTTGGGCAAAGGTGCCTGATAATTCTGGGTACCTTTGAGATACCCTTGACTTTGTAGTGACTTTAAGACCGAAAAACTTTTTTTTTTCTTTTTTCTTGGGTCCTTAGAGAATAAAGTGCAGTGCCATCATAAATGAGGCTCCATGGAGCAGTGTGGTATGTCTGAGTGTTGCTGCAAATCACACCCAGAAGAGCAGAAAAAGTGAGCTAGCAACTGCAGATGAAACGTAGCTGCCAAGAGTTGGTGTGCACGTAATAACTGCAGGGGAGAAGGTGGGTGGTGTTCGGCTTGAGGCACCTCACTGCTCCGCTGCTCCCCTGCCTCCCTGGCCTACGTGTCCCAGTTTTTCCAGCAGATGGGAAGGCCCCTCCGCCAAGGGCCCTTGCTTGTTTTGCCCACAGTGGCTCATACCAGAGCAGGTCCRTCCTGTGCACTCAGCACAGTGGGAATCTTACAGCAAAGAAGAGCTTGTGATCACGTAACTGAAGGCCGTGGATTTTGTGTAAGAAACGCTGGGRGGGTTTTGCTTTCTTCTAGCGTAACATTGAGGAGCAAGGATTTACTTGGTAAAGTTTCAGCTAAGGATTCCTTAGCTTTGATCATATTGGATATAAGAGTATTTTGTTGTGTGCTTCACTACTCTCTAATTTTGCTCTGACGAGCTACAAAGTAGTCCCGGCTTTTATATAAGATATTGCTTTAAATGTAGTGCTTCTTACTTTTGATGAAACCCATGCGCTTTGCAATCTAAAATCTCTTCAGTTTGGACTGTAAACGTGTTCCTCTGCAGTATGTGTGAGTGCATTTGTTGAACACAAGTTACTACCTTATCAGTGGCTGCTTAAGTTAATTAGATACTGTAATGTGCTGTATGTGGCCTGAGTTTTTAATGTGGATGTATGCAGGGTTTTGCAAGTGAGCTTGCACCCCTCTGCCCGGTTGCCCTGTRGGGCCAGCTGGACAAGCACAAGGCGGGAGGGGAAGGCAGCGGCTCCGCGCCGGCTGGGGGCTGCGGCYGAGGCAGGGAGCTGCTGTGGGCCCTCGCTGCTGCAGGGCTTTAGCCACAGAGCCCTCAGGCTTTTCCATGTATTTCTTTCTTTGGATGTGATCTTTTCATTTCTTCTTTGTGCATTTCKGTAGTAAACACTGGTGTTTTCTTAATGTGGGGAAATTCAGATCACGTTTACCTTCCTGGCCCCATCACTGTGACTGGCAGGGGCTCTTGCATCCAGCTCCTAATCCTACAGAGGGGAAGCGACCTCCTTGTGGGAACTCAGCTGTGTGGTTCCAGGGGAGCGTTCCTGGAGAGCTAAGTCATGACCCCACTKCTGGGAGAGGAGAGCAAAGCTGCCTGCTGCTGCTGCTTTCCTCAAGTCCTCCGCAAAGCTGAAGGCTGCTGGTCCTTGYTGGGGGCTGGTCACCCCTTCCTTASCTCCCCGTCTGGGCTCTGCATTTGCTTCCGAGTGATTCTTCTGCGAACGCCCTAGCAYTCAAGTAGTGTCTGTGACCCTGCAGCCCTTGTTTAGGRGGCTTCTTGTCACCCTTGGCCCTTTATCTTTCTGGCTGTTCTCTTTGTCCCCATTGCGTTTGTCTGAGCTCTCCTCTGTCCCAGCTGTGTCRGTAAAAGGGGGAAAGATGCCCTCTTCTGCGAGGTCTTCGCTGTTACTGATATGCTGCRTTAAAAACCCCTTCTAAAAGGCACGTGGGTGGAGGGACACATTTGATTGTGGGATACGCTTTTCTTTAAATACAGTGGGAACAAGCCTACCTGGGCATCACTGTTAATGGAAAGCAAAGCAAMGAGCCAACGCGACTGGAGGGAATTCAAGTTTTCCTCCCAAGCAATTCACTTTCCAGTATTCATTCCAAATTTTCTGAAGTGATTCAGTTCCGTCTCCTTAGAGACCAAACCAGTCCTGTTGGTGCTCTGAAATGTTCAGGTCTCCTCAGCCATCCCAAGAGCCTCATACCAATTTCTCTAGGAAGTCTCCACAGCTATTTTGGAGACTGTCRTTAGTGTTTATCTTCAGCCCTGTCCTCTTGGGTCAGCACCCCGTTCCCTCTTCTCCAGGGCTTGTTTGTAGCAAGACTCCATCCCCTCCTAATCCCTGAAGCTTTGAAGTAACAGTTCCCTTTGTGTTATATTTGCTCTGTTATTGAGCTAAAATTCTCCTAGTACCCTCAGCAGCAAGTGCAAGGCRCTGAGTTTCCCCTCCGTATCACACTGGTGTCTCTTTTGCAGGTGTTATTCAGCGCTGCACTGCTGTGAAGTACCACTACACCTCTAGCTCGCTGCCACGCAACTTGCCCGTTAACATCACCAACACCATCCGGCAGGATGAGTGGCATGCGCTCCGTAAGTAAGCCCAAGCAGAACGTAAAATGGTCAGATTATTTCACGCCTTATGACTGGGCTGGGTGGGGGTTTCGCCTTGGCTGATGTCTAAGCATAAATACTTGTTAGGGAGAGAGGCTGAGCAAGTAGCTGGCACGGTATAACTGGAAGTGGACATGAGACTGGAGTGGTTGTGAGGACGAGTTTGGGAAAGCGGGAGTGTGCAGTGTGTTGCCAGGTGTAGATGATTCCTACCTCGATTACAGCAAAGGTACCATAGTCCTGTAAGTCCTGCACGGAGCTTGTTGCAGTCACCATATGTGCCTGGTGACTGGTAGCTCCCCTGCCACCAGTGCTCGTGGAAAACGTCCCTGCAACCTCCTGTTGTTAATTCCCTGCCCACAAGCTGCCTCCTGCCAATGTCCTTCTCAGACGCTTGAGTGACCACTAGAGTCTGCTGCCAGAAATGAGTCTCTTCTGCCCCTGCTTCTCCCCGTATTTGTTGTCTGTTGCCTTTGCCTCACATAACTCTGTTTAGCCCCAGTCATATGAACCTCAGTGCTGAGGAAATCCAGCTAAAGACTGAAGCAGCATGAGACAACAGCACCTGTGGATACCAAGGTGCTGCTCATACCACTGAGCAGTGTCTTTAGAGCCTCTTACTGTAGTTGTTCTGTTCATACTGCTTGGATCTGCTGTCCACTCTTGCCTTCCCACTCTCCCCATCGTTACTTCCCACTGCCTGCCTTCCGTGTGCTAGTCRTTTACTTCCCCGTCACTGTCCCTTCCTGCTGCTTTTGGTTCTGTCTTCAGCTGACACTCACCCAGCAAACTCCACCCCAAAGAGACACACCATGAACAAAAAGGAAAGCCCTTGCAGCGCTGACATTTGCAAGTCGTTGCAGCATTAATTCTGCTGGTGCTGATGGGCTGCTCCTGCCCCATGGTGCAGGCACCAGGCTGCTGTTCTTCCTGGGTGGGAAGTAGGTACTTTGGTTGGACACAGCAGATACCTTGGTTAAGAGCGGTATGTTCTCTAGCTTTGCAGTGCCCAGCATTCAGGAGTCCAGTTGGCTGAATTCCCTAAGCTTCAGACTAAAGCACAAATCATTTATTTCAAAGAAGCTACAGGAGGAGATGCCCAGGGCAGAGCTCAAACTTTAGGATCAGCAAACCCCAGGCTGTCTGGGCTCTCTCCGTGCTGTCCTGTCTAGGTGCCTCCCTCTTCATTTCCTCTTTCTTGCTTCTCTCCTTTCTTTTCCCTCAGACCTGCGGAGGATGACAGCTGGCTTCATTGGCATGGCGGTCTCCATCATCCTCTTTGGGTGGATTATTGGTGTGCTGGGCTGCTGCAAGCAGCAGGAGCTCATGCAGTATGTGGCCGGGCTGCTCTTCCTGATGGGAGGTGAGAGCCTTTCGCTTTCGTGTTTTGCTTCTGACACGACATGTCAGGCCCTGCAGCTAACAGTGCAGCAGAATTTCTGTTTAGAAAAGGGGAAAGAGGAAAAAAGGAAGAGGGGGATTTAATTATCAATTCCAGAACATCATGAAAGAGGGTTTGTTTGTTTTGTTTTAGGGTTGAAGCAAGAGTGGATTTGTGGCCAACGGGGATATTAAAAAGAAAGAAAAAAGGGTTAATTTCAGAAGTGTGAAGTAGCTGAGTGTGCACAGGCATTCAGCTGCTTGGTGTGAATTGATATGATTGATCAAGACAGATGTGACCTGCCTAGATTCTAATACCCAACTCTGATTTGGAATATTAAAAAGTATATATAAAGTACATCATTTGTTTTTTTATATATATATATATGTATACACACACATATATATTCTTCATTTGTGAACCCTGAATCCAAAGGATAGTATATCTTTCCTTTTAATGGAGGTCTATTTTAGAGCCTGTTTCTGCAGTGTGCAATGACTGCTAGTGCCATTTAAAGCTTGCACGTTTGTCCCTGGTTCAGTGACTTAGACCGGAAAGCCTTAATGCTGCAGAGTTGATTTTTTTTTTTTCCTTTTTTTCCTCCCTAGCTTTTACTTGCTAGACTTAGAGAACTGTCATATTGTGCCCCTTGCTGATAGTTAGGTACCTAGTGCCTGAGGAGCAGCCAAACAGGCAGGTGCCCAAATGTGGGGCTAGCTCTAGGGGCCGCAGCTGCAGCTGGCAGCTCAGAGGGTCACAGCAGAAATTGAGATGGATGCTTGGCCCCAACAGGCTCCAGCTCTCTACCTCCCATGGGTGCTGTGACCCAGCAGCTTATATCCAGACATTAGTCACTGGATATAAGTAATGGCCCAGGTGAAGCATGATGAGGTGCAACCACCTGAGCTCTAAATCTCAAGAGAGGGATGAAAGGCAATATTGGTTATTTGGGAACTGCAGGATGCTATAGGCCTATGCATATATATTTTTTTCTTTCCCTTGTAAGTCTGTTTCCACCCTCTCACTTTGTAAGAAGGATGGCTGGTGGAAGAAAACGAAATGTAAAATTTTGTTGTTTCTTGACTTTGAAATAGGCGGACAGGGTGAAGAAAGAAAGGTAGAGAAAAAAAAAGAAAAGAAAGTACTAATTAACTAATTAACCTTAGTGAGGGCAGCGCAGAAGCCTCTTGCTTGTCCCCTGCAGGTACGTGCTGCATCATCTCGCTCTGCACATGCGTCGCTGGGATCAACTTTGAGCTGTCGCGCTACCCTCGYTACGTCTACGGGCTGCCCGAGGACATCAGCCACGGCTATGGCTGGTCCATGTTCTGCGCCTGGGGCGGCCTGGGCCTCACGCTGCTCGCTGGCTTCCTCTGTACGCTGGCCCCCTCACTCAACACGTCTCGGGCACCGGTACAAAAACCCAGACAAGAAAACGGGGCTGTGTGACCCCCGAGGGAGCGAGCCGAGACTCTGGGAAGCTCAGCCTGGGCAGAGTTGTGGGATACCACCAGGAAGAAGCGGCACGTCAGCACACGGAGAGCGGTGCCGGAGCTGTGCGAATACCACCCTGGGGGTGCTGCTAGGACTTCAGTCTTAGACATTGCAAGCAACTCCAGGTTCGAATTATTGCTGATTTGCTCATTGATGGTTTAAGGGGGAATGGTTCTTTTCTTTTGTTTTATTCTCTTCTGTTTACAAGGGATTAATTTCAAGGCTGTGGCTTTTTTTGTGCTCTTTTCTGAACTGTACCTCATGGTCCTGTTCTTGTCCATTTGTAAGGATGTTTACGCACCAACTCTATTGCTGCAGGTCTGTTGTAATTCAGACCCCAATTAGGGCAAGGAGGTGGGTGAAGTTGGCTTGAACACTTTTGCAAGACATGTCTCRTGTCAGCTCAGGCCATCATTTCCCAAAAGAACCTTGATCTAAGCCGAGGTTTAGGCCAAAGAATTAGCCCATTCTTAGTATTAATTCATCTAAAGCAGAAAGCTGTGCTGGTCTGTGCTATAGGATCAGCTATTTAATYAAGCTGATTGAGTCTGGAGCAGCAAGACTGATAAAACTCTTGCTGGCTTTAGGAAAGCAGGGGAAAGTTTTCCTCAGCTTCTTACACAGGTAAGGTTACTCAAACAATATATCCTTGTTTTAATGGGGAGATTCATGCAACGTGCAGCTTACAACTGTGCTGCTGGGGGCCCACGGCAGGTGTTTGTATACRAAGGTAAGTCATAGTTAGAGCTGCTGGGATCAGCTTTCACCAGGCTAGGTGTGGGTGTGATGCTGTTCTGTGAAAGGAGATGGGCAGCTCCCCCTGAGCCTGAATAGCAGACCTGCTCGCCTGGCAGGCAAGGTACAGCCCCCGGTAACTGAACGTCCAAAGGAGCTGCAGGGTTTTCCTCAGGAACGTGGGGCTTCTGCTCACTTCAGCCCTCCCCCCCCTTTATATCTCCCGTGTCTCCCCCACGCAGCAAGGCGGGAACACACGTGCTCCCCTGGCACAAGCTCCCGCTCCAGGATGAGTGGGAAGAGCCTTGGAACCACTGTAAGCACCAGGGCTAACTCAGGAACATCAGCCAAAGTGCCGGGGGTGCATTTTTCTTTCATTCATCTGTTCTTTCTTCCCTCACATTCCCCACCCCTCTCCCCAGCTTTCAAAAACTGCACAGGTAAAGATGCGATGGCCAGCATTTAGGGATGTTTACATTGTATTTCAAATACAATACAGTGGCATGTAAGATATTTAATGATAAAGTCAGTGTATTTATGAAAAGTGTAATTTTTAAATGGAAGTTGTAATTCTCAACTGGCATTAAAAGTACTGAAAGACCTGCTCTGTAGATGAAGATTCTTTCCCACTAATTACCAGACTGAGKCACCTGAGAACTCACAGATCAACCACTGTATTAAAGCTTCCACGATGAAGGTCAGATAATAAACAAGTGTGAATGTTGTTACTTCTCCCTTGCAAGATCAGTGTTTGTTCAAAAGTTGGGAAGACCCTCACACTGTTGTACACTGTGTACACAGTCTGTACACTGGCTGCACAGGTGACAGGGAGGTGCTGAGCTGCAGAGCATCTGTTTGGGAGCGCTCTTACTGCACTGCTACCTGTTGCTCCTCAGCCAGAAGTAGCGCAGCAGGAGTTAATCCGGTTATAGCAGAAGGAGGCTCCAAAGGCAGCAGGATGGGCACCAAATTAGGGAGGTTCTCCCCTTCCCTGTTGTAGTTGCAGGACGATACAGGAAGGGCAATGGCCCCAACACAACAAGGATTTGTTCTTAGAAGGAAAAAAAAAGTTTTATTTTTTCTAGACAGAAAGTAAGTGGTACAGTCCAGTCTTGTCCTCTCTCAACCAAAGCCAAGGCCACCCTCGTGCCTGGGCAGAGATCAGGCATAGTACTGCAGATTGGCTTTTTTCTTTGCTTGAACCTCCAGGATTCCCTCCATGTAGTCCTCGTGGGTGAGCTCTGTAGCGCCACGGCGCAGGGCGATCATCCCCTGCCCCAAGAGAGTGGATTTAGAGGCATGTGAGCAGCCTATCAGCTCAAAGTTACCCAGTTCCAGCTTACACAGCCCCCTCCTCTCTGTGCAGGCTACGAGTTAGGAACTCTTACCGCTTCCACACACACTGCTTTGCACTGGGCTCCATTGAAATCATCTGTGCAGCGAGCCAGTTCCTCATAATTCACATCAGGACTGAAAATGGGGGAAAAAAGAAATCCCAGAACGTGTAAACAACAGAAAAAGCAAGATATGGAGCTTCCTTAAATAAATATCCAAAAAAAATAGAGTGCCTCCCACCCCACAGAAAGAAGTACCATCACCACACAGGGCAAACACAGCCCCAGCAGGCCATTCCGCTTCTCTACCTGACATTCATTTTGCGTGAATGGATCTGCATGATTCTGGCTCGGGCTTCCTCGTTAGGCATTGGGAACTCGATCTTGCGATCTAATCGGCCAGAGCGCAGCAGAGCTGGGTCCAAGATATCAACCCGGTTGGTTGCAGCAATCACCTAGGTAGAAACAGCATCATCAGTCTGAGGCACCCACAGCACAGACCTCTCCTGCAYGGGCATCCACTGTGCTGCTTCCCTGCACACTGTTTTGCATCTTCTGCCAGAGACTCCTGGGCCTCAGCAGTACTTTCTGCTAGACCCCACCTTGACTTGTGTGTTGGGTTGGAAACCATCCAGTTGATTAAGCAGCTCCAGCATGGTCCTCTGCACCTCCCGGTCACCAGCCTTCTCACTATCAAACCTGAGGAAGAGGCAAGGAAAAAAAGCTATCAGCTTGAGCCTGACCACTCTGCCCTCCTATTCTCCTCAGGTTGAAAGGCACAGTTGCTGCAGGCACACTGCTTGGCTAAGCTTTTCTCAGGCTGCCTTGAAGCTGCAGCAGGTCTTGCACTGATGAGCAACTGTGACAAGAATAACCATCAGCAGCATTGACGTCCCATGACATCCTTAGCCTTAAACAGGGCTGATGTTGTCCGAGCCCAAGCAGTAAATGAGGGCAAACACCTCCATGTCCCTGATGCAGTCACCAGAGAACAGATGTGAACTGCTGGGCAACATCGGGTGGCTCTTCAGGGTCACTGTGTTTCACTCACCAGCTTGAGGAGTTTGACAACTGCTGTCATTGTTTTGCCCTGTGTCTCTGACCAGGCCTTGCATTAAGCCAGGCTTATCTCACAAACTCAGACTAAGGACTACACACCCAAGCGCTTTACAACATGGCCTACACCTCACCTTTTGGTGCCAATGGCATCCAGTTCATCAATAAAGATGATGGAGGGGGCTTTCTCCTTGGCTAAAGCAAAGGCATCTCGTACCAGCTTAGCGCCATCACCAATGAACATCTGCACGAGCTGTGGGCCAGCAAGCTTCAGGAAGGTAGCCTGCGGAATGGGAGAGAAAATCCTACACCTAGTTTCCTAAGATTGTTAGTGCTGAATGCTACCAAAAACTCATAAATAAACATGCAAACACAAAGAATCACAATTCCAGTTTAGCCGTATTAACTCCTTCTTCCTTAGACACATTCTTTTTCAGCTACTATCCTACAACATGTGCATTAGAAGTTTCCTCTTACCTTGGTCTGGGCAGCACACGCTCGAGCTAAAAGCGTCTTCCCTGTCCCAGGAGGTCCATACATCAGCACTCCTTTGGGTGGCTGTATACCCAAATTTTCAAACTTCTCCTTATGATTCATTGGCAGGACAATGGCCTCCACAAGCTGCAGCAAAAGAAACATATGAAGCCATAGAACCATCCCACTCCACAAACCCAGGCTGCCTCAACTACGAGCTGAAGCTCAGAGACTTCAGCCTGCAGTCACACCACAAATGGAATGTAAGGCATCACCTCCTGGATTTGTTTATCCAGCCCCCCGATGTCACTGTACTGCTCTGTGGGCCTCTCATCCACCTCCATGGCTTTCACCCGTGAATCATATTCCGTAGGCAGAGTCTCCAGGATCAAGTAAGAGTCTTTGTTCACTCCCTGTAAACATAAATCCACCAGCTTTGCTTAAAGAAGGCCCCTTAGGCAGCAGTTGTTAATAATTATGCAACTAAAAGTGATTCACAAGATCTTCAGGAGCTCCAAAACATTAACAGCAGTTCTAACAGACACTCACCAAATCACCACAGCTTGGCAGAGTGGCCAAAACTACAACACTAGAAGTTTAGCACAGAGGGGTTTCAAAGCAATCTGGACAGAGTGCCTCCTTTCAAAAGGAAACAAGACACACACACACACACACACACAGACATTTCTGGCTTATGTCACATCACAACTGCTTCACTCACCACTAGGTCTCCAGGCTTCAGTTTCTCAGCATCAACCAGCCCAATAACAGGCAGGAAATAGGTCTATGAGAAAGGAGTCAAAGTCAGCAAAAGCAGCCGTACCAGGACGGGGCCCCTCACTCAGCACTCTGAGCACCCAACTGTGCACGGGGTCCTACCTGGCGAGTAGAGGTCTTGATCACTGCACACTTGCCCTTCCGCTGGGAATCCAGGTCAATGTTCGCTCCATCCTCCTCCTGGTCATTGGGGTCAACATCCAGCAGCTGAGAACCAGAGCGAGAGATTCCAGTAGAATAAAACCAGACAAGCAGGGCTATCCCAGGATTAACGCTTCTGAATTATATACTAAATTATATATTTTYTAAATAGAAAATGTTAGCATTATTAAGCAGATCAGCAAAATTACTGAATTATAAAAGGAATGCAGTGCAGTGTCTGGGTCTCTATAGGCTTTTATGCAGTTATCTTAACTAGCTTCTTATAATGAACAAAGCAGGGTAAGCACCTAAGTACCTGTATTCCTGCACCTTGGCTAGTAAGGTACATGCACATCAACTGAGCTGGCAGCAAGTGCATTGTATTGTCTGCTAAGATGGAAACATTGAATGGTTTGTAAATTCCAACCCATGTTTTTCTTTCTTTSTACTTGGTTAATTCCTCAGACCTATTCCTTTTGTAAGAGGGCGTCTTTGATTGCAGCAGCCCTGTTCATGCCCAGCTAGGACTACTTTTTAGAGCATTTTAAACAACAGAGTCACCACTTTTCATTTACTGTGTCAATGTAAGTTGCAGACAATATGTGACAAATTACATGCCCTGAGTCTATACTAAGTGAACTTGGGTAGTCAGGTTTTGTGCAGATGCAGAAGAGCTAACAGGGGTCTAAGGAATGACCCCGTAAGAAATGGACAAGCAAGAAGCATTCTCGGCTGCAAACAAAACCAAGTGGAAAATCTTAAAAGTCTGGACTCCAGAATAACCAGTAGTTGGACAAGATAACACGTTTCTAGTTAKGGATGTGCTCCCCTGCCCTCCCTTCTCCAGATACGAGTTGTGCACCCCTTGAGCATCGCTCCAGAGATGCACCCCGCCTCACCTCAATGACATTGGACACAAGGTACGGCAAAGTTTTGTTCACTTTGATCTTCTCGCTGTTCTCTTTGATCTTGTCCTTCATGGCCTGAAGCTCATGGGTCACTCTCAGCACTTCACTCTTCATGATCTGGAATCGGGATGTTTAAGGCAGCTACTGTCAGATGTTACTCAGTCAGCAAATCCATATCATGCTGTCACAGAAAMCCCACTTCCTAAATATCAAACCTTTGAACAACAGTAATGTAGCTAAGATAACCTGCACCTATAAGTGAAGCAATGTCTGCAGTAGAAGGCAGCTCTGTTATTAGGTGMGCTGCTGCAAATGGGAAGTACGAGCAGGGGCAATGGTTGAATTAGGGCTCACGTCTCCTGGGAGCAGCAGGACCACCAGCACCTTTACCTTTGTACCACCGTCTGCACCCCCACTTTATAGAGCAGTTACGTTCTGCAGGACCATATAAATCAATCAAGACTTGCACAGGAGAAGCAAATCATATCGACTGTTTCTGAAGGAAAAAATATGTTGCGTGCTCCTTGAGCCAAAATCCTCAGTACTGGAATAATGCCCGTTACTTAGGACCTAAACAGAAGATGGACACAATCCCAGGGAAAACAACAGGACACAGACTTAKAGGATAATTCAGRTTGGAAGGGACATCAGGATCTCTCTCACCTAACCTCCTACTCAGCCATGGGGTCAGATAAGGTTGCACAGGATCCACCCAAAGATGAGGCCGAACAGCTTCCCTGGGCAGCCCGATCCCAGCTTCACACTGAGAAGGACTGTCCTCGTACCTGCAACCCCTGCTTTAACTAAGGGACATTAGTTGATGATTTTAGTTCATCTTGCACTTCACTTCGATGTGTGTGCAGAGAATTCAGATTTCTTACATCTCTATATAATTTTAACTTTTAATCACAACTAGAATAAAAAAAAATACACACAMAAAAAAAMCCCATAAAATAGTCATGAATCACCATCCAACAGCACATTTATATCCAAGGCTAAAGTAGTGAATACAGCTGTTTCTCCGTGGTAGCTGACACCATGTTCTGCCTCCTTTCCTGGGTCTTATCCTAGAATTTCAAAATGCCCTGTGAGACCCACAGAGGCAACTGGAACACCAAAGGGTCTCTGAAAAACTGCCCACAGCTGAAGTACCTTATATGACTCTTATTTAATGAGAAATGCATCTTCCTTAAAACACATCTTTTTCAAACTCTTCCTATCTGAGCATAATGCTCTCCTGTTGCACATAACTATCCACAGGACAGAACTGCTATCAGGAGCGAATATACAATCTGCGGCATAAAACTACAAAAACACAGAAATTTGATTTAAAGTAGCCYGGGAAACTTCCAAGGAAAACTGTTGCTGTAGAACCCAACTTCTGTGGAAGGTGCAGTGCTCCTCTATGCGAACAGGTCCATACTGGGACAGATCTACCCTGGGACCTGTCCCGTTTAAAACCTTTATCAGCRAGCTAGAGGAGTGACACAGAGCTCTCCCAGCCTGTTTGCAGATGACACGGAACTGCAGGGAAGGTCCTGCACGCCCAAGGCTGGCACCCAGAGGGACCTCAGCGGGGTGGTGTTGGGGCCTGCAGGATCCTTGCACAAGTCGCCAATGTTCTGCACACGGGCAAGAAAAGCGCCTCGCAAAACCAGCAGGGCRCCGGCTGGGGGGCAGCCCTGCAGAAATGGGGCTCCTGGACAGCGCAGCGGCCACGGGCTGGGCCAACAGCCCCCGAGGCTCTGCTGCTGGCGGCGGGACAGCACACGGGGGCAGCTGCCACAGCCCCCGCCTGCACTGCGCGCAGCCTTGGCCTTAAGCACAGGCCTGCTAAGGAGAGGCTTAGCAAGCTGGACTTGCTCAGCCTGGACAAGGGGAGGCTTCAGCCCGTCCTGACAGCAGCCCCTGCTGGCAAGACGGACTCTTSCCAGCAACACTCGGTGGAAGGTTGGGAGACAACAGGTATAGCTAAAAGAGCCGGTTCCGAGCGGACATAAAGCGGGCTGCCCGGGGGGGCTGCACGCTCGCGGCCCCCAGGCCCTCCACACCCRCTGCACGAAGCCCGGGGCTCCGGGCTGAGGGGGCACCCCCGCAACGGGAACCACCGCGGGCTCCCGTCCCCATCCCCAACCCCATCCCATCCCCTCGAGGCGCCCGAGCCGCCCAGGCCCCGGAGAGCGGCCGCCCCGCGGCCCCCCTGGGCGCGCTCACCTTGATCTCGCTGTCGAGGAGGCGCGTGCGCTGCACGATCTCCTCCGTGGACATCTTGAGCACCTCCTCGCCCACGCCGTCCTGCGGGGCACAGGGCGGGCGTCACGCGCGGCCGGCCCCGCGCCGCCCCGGCCGGCCCCGCCGAGCGCCCCGGCCCCGCGGCCGCTCACCTCGGACTCGTCCCACACCGACGCCATCTTGCCCGAGCGAACGGAGCGCCGCGCGCCGGGCGGCCGATTCCGCGCTGCCCACGCCGGGCGCCCAGCGCAGGGCACGAACCCCTAGGCGGGCTGGGSCGCCTCGACCTCCTTCCTTCCCTTCTCGGCGCCCCAAGTCCGGGCCCCGGCGCCCCTACGAGGCGCGGACTCAGCCGTGCCGAATCTGCCAACGAGATGAGTTGACCCACCGACCGGTCACGTGCCGCCGGCCAAATCTGCTGAGTGAGAGTGATGGCGGCGCCGCCATCTTGGTGCGGGGCAGGGGCGGGGCCCGCCGCCAGGGCCGCCTCCCGAGCGCTCCCCTCCCTCCTCCCCCTCCCGCCTCGCGCGGGCGGTTGACGCGCAGGCGCGCAGGCGGGGCGCGGGCAGGCGCGCGCACGTGGGGCAGGCGCGCG